ACAAGAATACAAGAATACAAGAATACAAGAATAAAAGAATAAAAGAATAAAAGAATAAAAGTATTCAAGAATACAAGAATACAAGAATTCCCAAAATGAGTTTAGGTACTGCATGAATAAAAGTAATTTTTCCTTTTTTAAACAACCGACATTAGAGTAAATTATTTATTAATTATAAATTTATTTTTTACGTCTATTTTTTGATATTGCAAAAATATTGATAATTTATTCATGAAAACATAAAGATACGATTATTAGAGTTATAATAACTCCTAAACCAGGTCTAGCTAAACTAAAAGGGAGCAAATGTATTACTTAATATTCATTACTTTACAAGAATGAACCTTCACTATAACAAAATCACTGCCCTAAAAAATGTTATTGAAAGAAATTAACTGGAACTATGGAACTGAGTTCTATTTTTCTAATTCTTATATTTTTGCAACACAGATGTCGGAAACCTTTGATATTTCAAATTAAGAATTCTGCTGGATGAAAAAGTCAAAGTTTGAAATATTGAAAGTTTACATCATCAGATTGTAAAATATAAAGGTTTCTTGAATTAAATCACAGAAGTCATATCACCCCCTAAATATACAGTGATAAGCAATAATATCAATACAATGAAGACGACTTTCAATTTCAATTTTGATTTAAATCAACCTGTTAAACAGCATAACTTGAAAACAAAGATAAGATGTCAATAAGAAAAGCTCCTCTTTGATTGCTTGTTAACTTGTAATTCGAAAAAAAGCTTGTTAACAATCAAAACTCAAATAAAAAGTCGTCTTCATTATATTGATATAATCGCCTACCACTATACATCATAAGGTTTATTAGGTTTTTTCCTGAACTAATTTTATAATCAGAGACAATATATTGGTCTCTTTGTCTTTGAACTATTTATCAAACCAAGCTAGGATATTTTGGTGAATTTTAAAATTAGAATACCACAGAATTGCATATAAGATTTAGATTTTTCACATTTTACACAACCCCCCCCCCCCATCGTCTCATAGCCTAGAAATGTATCTTCTCATACAATTTACATATTAAAAGAAATGAAAATAACCTAGGTAAAAATTGAGCGTTCATAATTCTTAATTATTCGACATTGATTTAACATGTTTAAATTTTGGGAAGCCTTTACTTAAAACATTTGATTTCTGAATACAGAGAAACTGGAAAAGAATTTAAAGAACCCGGAACCAGAAAGCCAGAAACTAAACTCGGACAACTTGAACCCGGAACCAGAAAACCAGAAACTAAACTCGGACAACTTGAACCCGGAACCAGAAAACTACAAAACTATTTTGGAGAAGTTAAACCTTGAACCAGAACAACAGAAACTAAACTCAAATAATTCAACCCTGAATTTTGGTATCTCAGATCAAATTGGAAATGCTAAACATTCTCCTAAAAACTTGATTCCAGCCATTTCAGGAAAATTAAATAAGACTTTTTAAACTTTAAACAAGAAATTGAGTTTTTAAATGTCTCCTGAAACAAAAATGTCTGCTAATGCACCGAACCCCGGTCCATCTCCATAACTTGGTCGTGCATATAGCAGATAGTTGACTTGAAATTAACAATATATTTTTTTTTGGGGGGGGGGGCGCAGAGAATTAATATCATTACACATTTAAGAGACTGTAAGCGTAATTTCAAGTAAACATACAAAGATGGCAGTTCCTGATTTACAACGGTATATCCCCTTAAAAGTCTTAAAAACGACGTTTTTGATCAGATTAAGGTTTCTTCAAGGATACCTTTTTAAATTGAGCATTGCCATCTCCTGTCTTATTTCTTCTTTAATTAGTTTCCGATTACGACTGGTGAGGATTTAAAATATTTGCTGGATTATTACAAATTTCATAAATTTACAAAAATAATTTTTGTTGAATTATAATTATTTTTCTTATGGATTTGGTTATAATCTGAAATCTACCTGTTTCGGGTTTGGGTTTATTACATATTAAGCATTCAGCAAAGGTTTTGGTTCTCCGCAGTTGGGAAAACTTAAGAGTTCCGAACTGTATCAATTCTACTGCACCTGAGACCCTGAGACCAGGGAGTGAGGTTGAAACCAACCCTAGAGAAGTACTTCCAGAATCATTCTTTGGATACATGAGGTTAAAAATAAAAATAAATTTAGCACATTGCATTTCAAAATAAAAAATTAAGAAAACAAGCAATTATCCAAAATTTTGATTTAAGAGCCAAAGTATCAATTGAATCATCCTAGAGAATGTCGACTATTGATAGATGATCTCCGCAGTATGTCTGTGGATCGAGAGTCCGCTGAAGAATGGATCAGGGATTTCTTGATTTATTTTAAACCATATTTTATCTAATCTTTTTATTCATAATGTTTGTGCATTATCAGAGGTGGGGTGAGTGGGAGTATGACGCCAAATAAGCATGAAATTGTATATACTATATACATGCCTAGGGGCAGCTTTCAATATTTGAAGGAGTGAGGAAATAATTGAAATATTTCGCGCCAAAAGTGCCTCGAAATTTTGTATATCCCCTGGATTTTTTACAGGGAATTTCGTCATTTTTATGTTACCAAAATCTTCATTTTGAGCGTTAAGTGGCACCGCAGGGGAAAAAAGTTTTTTAAAATCTATTCTTAAAAAAAAGAAGAGCCTTCTAACTTCGTGCATCAATTCATCCCCCTGATGTTTAACCATTATGGATTTCAACACAATTTTAGACATCAAAAGTAATTTTTTGACACTTGCCGATGTTTATAAATATATTTTGATAGGAAATTCACATTATCAATTATATATTTTAATTAGAAGAAAGACGACATTTGAGAAGCGTTACATTTTTATGCTTTTCCTTAAATAAAATTTTAGAAATTATTGCGCATTTTCTTATTTTTCTATATATATACTTTGCTTGTCTGGCGTCTGCTTGTTTGTTTGTTTGTATCCAATACACGACAAAACGGCAGAACCAATCGGGCCCAAATTTTGTGTGGGAACTCGCGTGACCACAGGGAAGGTTTATGAATAATCAAAATTTCAAAAATTTTGAAAATGCGCCAAAAAATATTATAAAAACCGCAATTTTTTTGTTTCTGTTTAATACTGTTGAAATAGAAGATGGACGCAAAGCGCTCTAACAGCCAAGTTTTATATAATTTTCGATGTTTTAACATTGCTTTTTGTTGAAATGGTTAAAACATATCTGATGCAGGACGCCGGGTCCTAGAAGCCTAGTTTTATACATAAGATAAAAGGCTGCACTATTATTATGCTTGAATTATGCCTACAAGCCAATGATGAAATATCTGAAATTCAGTAAAATATTTTATGAGGCTAATATCATTTCAAGCCTGCACAGTGCACACAACAGTTATGAAATATTAAAAAGTTTAAAACTTAAAAAATAAATCTTGGTAAAGAAACCCTCATGGAATGCCTCTTCAAGATTAATGAAAAAAGTTTTTGGAACATTTAATCTTTGAACTTAAAATATAATTTCGCAATCATTTTAAAGGGACTGTACTAATAGAATAAAATAACATTTAAAGGGACTGTAAGCATAATTTCAAGTGATCCTCCATGCAAACATGACAATGCCTGATTTACAATGGTACCCTTAAAACATTTGTCTGATCAATAATGTGGAAGATATTGTTGTTTTTCTTGGTTTTAAAGTGTTTCGTTTTAACAATTTCTTTACGGTTTCCTGCAGTAGAAATGCGCAAGTCCCTTGGTAGAGAAACCACAATTAAAAACAATAAGTTATAAATCATAACCATTAATATCATACTTGATCAGACAAAGCTTATCAGGGTACCGTTGTGAATCGGGCATTGTCATCTTTGCATGGAGGGTCACTTGAAATTACACTAACCCGAGTTAGAGACTATAACAGTCACATATCTCTTATCTCTTATCTCTCCAGTATTGCAGTGGGACAATAGTGATGCAATAAATATAGGAGGGAATATTATATTGCCATAGCTTCCCAAGACCTTGTTGGGTCCTAAAGCATCATAAGCGTAGCGAGGGATGCTTTCAGACCCAACAAGGTAATGTAATATTCCTTATATATTTATTGCATCCTTCTTGCCTCACGTGAATGAAGAGATACATAATTTTTTTAACTTTTAAACTAATTTTATGGAGATTTTTCCATTTCTAAACAAAATATAATATCTTAATTAAAATGAAAATCAACCTTCTTCGGTTTTTAAAACTCTTAAATCTATTTAGTTTTGTAACACATATTTTTAAGTTCAGAAGCCAAATCATAATTAATGTCTTCGAAGTTATAAATCCGCAACTTCTTGCCAGAAAATAAAAAAAAACAATTAGATGCGACCCCATGCGACATATAAATTTCAGGGATTCAATAGCGTCATAATTTTGTTCAAAAGTTGAAAAAATATATTTGAACATTAGTTTTAAAATGAAAAACAAATATTAGTCTATATCACTCAAGTTGGAAGAAACCATAATATTTATCCTTCTCCACAATTTAATAGAACATTGGAATTTTTCTTCGCTGAATTTAACTTTATTCACATTTTAAGAGTTCTCATTTCTATACAGATTTTTTTGGAATCAACTTTTTTCCTTCGGGGAATTAATAAAAATCAAAAAGTGGTTTAAAGGGATTGTAAGCTTAATTTCAAGTGACCCTTCGTGCAAAGATGACAATGCCCGATTTACAACGGTACCCTTAAAAGCTTAATTTGATCAAAATTGTGGAAGATATTGTCGTTTTTCTGACTATAAAACATTAACATTAATATCTGATTCATACTTCATGGGACACATTTTAAGAGGGCCGTCGATCAATCGATGATTGTCACTTTTCCACTTAAAATTACGCCCCTTTAAGACTTGCAACTTGAATATAATATTGTTATGGCTTATTCAATGACTTTGCAAAGGAAGATTCTAGAATTTAAGGAGACAGACTGCAGTATCAATTCCAGAATATATACTATATACTATTCTATAGTTAGATAAAACAATTCGTTTTATAAGACTAGTAAAACAATCCGTGTTTATTAGACTAGTAAAATGTCAAATTAAGAAACTAATTTTAGCTTAGACATCACATGGGACTTGCCTAATATAAATAGTTTTATCATTTCCAAAATGTGGTCTGCCTCTTTTATGCTTTCAACATTGATGGAAATATCAAGAATTTCGCCAGATTTCTATTTTTTAAATAAAACCAGCACAGAACAGTACAGCACGGCACAGCACGGCACAGCGCAGCACAACACAGCACAGCACAGCACAGCACAGCACAGCACAGCACAGCACAGCACAGCACAGCACAGCACAGCACAGCACGGCACAGAACGGCAAGGCAGAAGACGATTTTCATGTCGTCTTCTAACTATCATGTTCGGTGTATGCAGCAGATTAGTGATTAGTGGTTTTGTACCAATTACCGTTTTTTCCTTAGTCTCATTTTTTTATTGCAAAAATCAAGCAAAAAGTCCATGATAATATAAAAGAAGAGATGCAAATTATGCAAATTGAATTAATTCAGTAGTTCTTTGAATGACTCCCATAGGAAGGAAGATAATTTAAAACTTTATTAACATTTTGGAATACACTCTTGTTAATTTTTGAAGAAACTCCATTTATAAACCATGGGTACCGAGTAGTCCGATTCAAAACGATAACATCCATGACTCCTGCAAACATTTTTCTGAATAAAAATGAAAATATTATTTCTCCGACTAAAAACGGTTTTCAAATTTATATTTATGCAGCGAGACAATGAAATAAATTGTTAGATCGCAGGAATTGATAAGATTTTATCTTGAATCTAGAAAAACTACAATATCTTGTAAATCTATAATGCCACTCGACTAAATCTGCGTTACTAGAAATTACGTCTTGGTCCTATTCATAGAAATACCTGACAACTCCAAAGCTATTATATTTTGGATTTTGAAGAAAGTTAGCATCCCATTTAAATCCATCTTATCAAGAAAAATAGAGTTTTAGTTGTTACGTATTTTCTTCTTTCCTACAGTGAAACCCTTAATAACGAAAACATCGAAAGAATTCATCAAATGTCGTATTCTTCACTTTCTAATAATGGAATGTTGCAGATATTTAGTTTTTTAATTAAATGATTATATGGAACTCTTTAAAACTGTTCCCGCATATTCATGGCTATTTACTTATTTTCACAAATACTGAAATTTACGTAATATAGTATAACACTCATTGAAAAATTGTCACGACGACATTTGATAAATTCTTCCGATGTATTCTTTATTAAGGGTTTCAATGTACATAACTGTATCCATATTGTATAATAATGATAAATGATTAACCCACGCACCTCTGCCCCTTTGGTAAAAGTAAATTCAACCTATATGAAGCATAAAGTCTGACCGCGTCAATCTTGTTGCACTGTCTAGTCCTGTCCATATAGCTAGTTACAGTACAAAAAGAGACCGCAAAGGTTGACCCGGCTCGGAAATTCAAATGTACTACGGCTGCCCGTAAACCATAAATCCGAGGAAATCAATAGAATGCTTAAATTATCTAAATAGCTTGAGAACCAAGCGCTAGCTATTTTCCCTGTAAAAGTGGACCCACCTGACTAAATATCTCAAAACCAAACTAAAAACATTCCCGTGGGTCTCCTGAGTTCCCCGATCAAAATTTGATTATATATATATATATATTTATATATGATCATTCTGCGCTGTTTGCTGATTATAGATTAACAGATCTATCAGTTATCAGAAAAATGGAAGGTTTATTGAAAACGCTGATAATATTGACCTTACGAACAGTTCCAAACAATCCTAAAGGGATTTTTCAGAACAAATATGAAATTTTGCAAACAATTTCGGTTTTGATCTTCTTGGGAGAACTGGTACACTGTATGAAGAGTTCCACGCAAAGAAACAATTATTTGAAGGTTGATATTTGTTCTTCAGTATCGAATTCATACTTACAGGTTGTCCCATTAAACATGGAGATTACGTGACGACTTCTATAACATCTTAATTCCTCACACGACATTAATTCGTTTACACAATTTTAGAATGTCACTAGAACACATTTAAACCGAACACTACTGGTGGCGAGCTTTCTAAAATGTGGTCTGCTATTTTTTACACCATCAAAATTTACAAAAATCTTGAGAAATTTGTCCAGATTCCCATATATTACAAACCATCCAAATTGTGTAAATTTCAAATTTTTCTTTTGGATTTTTGAAGATACTAAGATGGAAGATAACTTTAAGAAAAGCTCATAAGAAGAACAATAATATTTTACATTATTATTATTTGTCAATTTTCGGAAATAAAAGACAATCTTTAAGTAGTCTCTTAATTCCCATGTTTATTTGTACACCCTGTATCCCACAATTCCCATGTTTATTTGGACATCCTGTATCCCACAATTCCCATGTTTATTTGGACATCCTGTATCCCACAATTTCCATGTTTATTTGTACACCCTGTATCCCACAATTCCCATGTTTATTTGGACATCCTGTATCCCACAATTTCCATGTTTATTTGTACACCCTATATCCCACAATTTCCATGTTTATTTGTACACCCTGTATCCCACAACTTCCATGTTTATTTGTACACCTTTATCCCACAATTCCCACGTTTATCTGGACACCCTGTATCCCAAAATTCCCATGTTTATTTGTACACCCTGTACCCCACAATTTCCATGTTTATTTGTACGCCCTGTATCCCACAATTCCCATGTTTATTTGTACACCCTGTATCCCACAATTTCCATGTTTATTTGTACACCTTTATCCCACAACTCCCATATTCATCTGGACACCCTGTATCCCACAATTCCCATGTTTATTTGGACACCTTGTATCCCACAATTCCCGTGTTTATTTGGACACCATGTATTCACAAAATATTCAATATTTAAATCAAGCTAACAATTTATTCGCTTAAACAGTTGAAGGATTAGTAAGTAACATTGTATGTTAGAAAAAACGACCCAAAAAATACGAAATTTTTTGCGACACACACACTACAATTATCACAGGGAAATGTAGTGTAAATATCTAGATTGAAAGCGAAGTAAAAATACTTGATCAAAGAAAACATGTCGTCTGGACAAAAAAGATGAAATGTGGTTGAGAACAAACAATTTAAATAAATATCAAATAGATGATTTCTTGAAATACAATCAGAAAAATTTACAATGCGTCCAGCATTTTTTAACAGGAAGCTAAAAAAAAATAATTTCTTGTGTAAAATTTGTAAAAAAAAACTGAGAAGCAAGAACTTGGAAAGGGTTTAGGGTGGTCGGGGTTGCAAAAATAAAATCGGGATAAAAAGATAGATAGATAGAAAGATTGTAAGTTTGTAGGGAAATATTCTAAAATGTAATCCATAGTCTGAGTCAGTATACTTCATAGAAACCATGCCAAAGCTTGAGTAAAAATATTTAAAGATTAATTCGGGAGAAAACACGAAAAAAAGACATTTTGTCGATATTAATAACATCTTAACATTTACATGAAACATGGCAGTTTGATAGTTGTACAGTTGAACTTATGTACTGATCGTACATGTAGAGATGCACGATGTACAGTAAAGGATTAAGAGGTGTACAGTTGTACAGTGAGAAAGATGTATGGTTGTACACTGTACAGTTACACAAAAGTACGTTCATTAAAATCTTCTAACTTCATGATGTTTGTTTTTAAAAAAGCTTCGATATCTCTTTAGGACTGTTCTTACTTCAAATAAATTTAAAGAATTATGCACAAGTCAACAGTAGCTTATGCTCTTTAAGCAGTGGCTTATTAAGCTACATAAGCTATAGGCAAGAAAAGCAGCTTGAGCGAAATAAGCAGTTCATTGATTTTATGAGCTACATGAGCCAAATAAGCAGTCCATTCGCTTAAGGAGCCACATAAGCTTAGTCCTGCAAAAGCTGTTTAAGCTAAATAAGCAGCTCAAACGGTAAATGAGCTACATAAGCGAAATTATGTTAGAGCTACGCAATTAATTTACCAGCTGCATGGGCTTAGCAGATCATAGAAGCTACATGGGATACTTAAGGTATGCTCACTGCTCAGAAGCTGCAACAAATGTATGCACTTCAAAAACTGAATAAACCACAAGCTTCTTTTTAAATTTAGGACAACTCCGAGCGATCAAAGAGCTTTCTTTGAAGTAAGAAGGGTTAAATCAAGTAAGCAACTAAATTTTCATGTATTATGATCGTACGGCGTACAGTATACAGTGTACAGTGTACAGCGTACAATGTAAAGGGTGGTGGTAGAGAGAATTCAGACGGATACATAAATAATGCGGTTATTAAGTACATATTTCCTACTAGATTATTATGTTGCGGGACAAAAATGCAACAGTGGCACAGTAGGGGTTCTTTAACAGTAAAACAATTATTATACAGGAATTCTTATCAAGAAAAAACATGAATACAAAAATCAGAACTTTAGAAGAGAATAAAATTTGGAAAATTCAAATTTAGTGTGCATTCAATGATAAAAGTTTAAAACAAAATTCATTTTATTATCCTTTAATGAGAAAAATACTATTATTATTTTACATAAACCCGAAAAATGCAGAATATGAACTATTTAAGGGTATCTTGGTCTTATTACATTTCAAAAATATATAATCAAATATAAAATGTAGGAATTTCAATGGACTGATTATTTAAAAATATCAACATTTCAAATGTTAAAATTATTTAATAAATAATAATAATAATAATATATATCTTCAGACAAGAATTTTTAGAAAAAATATTGAAGAAACTGTTTAGGGGTATAAACCCTGCCCTGGTTTGACAAGTCCTCCTATTTGGAAAGCTTTGAAATAACTCGAATGAGAGCTCCGTTCTCATCCCGCAGCCTTTGATTATCCGCCTTCAGTTGGTCCAGAGTCTAGAAAACAAAATATAATTAATTTTATTCAAATCCAAATATTAATTTACAATTCAAATTAAATTCAGACTATAGAAAATTTCTTAAGTTTTGTATAAAACGAGCATTAGGACCTTAAACATACGATGGGAAAAGCACGAGGATTCTCTGAGGGGGAAATGGTCGAAATTTTCTTTATGATGTATCTATAGAATTTGAGTTAAGAAAGTTTAAAGGAATGCATGGAAGGATGACGATAAAAGGATCAAAATATCAAGGTAAAAATTAGAGAAAATCTATCTGAAAAGGTTGGAACCATTAGGTTAAAATTAAGAAACCCCAAAGTTTAAGTTTAAATTATAGAAACAAAAAATGTTCAAAGAAAAAATTAAAAGGAAAGAACCCAAGGTTTGAAGAGTAGAACCCCTAGGTTAAAAGTACAGAACCCCTATGTTAAAAGTATAGAACCCCAAGGTTGATAGTATAGAACCCCTAGGTTAAAAGTATAGAACCTCTAGGTTAAAAGTATAGAACCCCAAGGTTAAAAGTATAGAACCCCTAGGTTAAAAGTATAGAACCCCTAGGTTAATAGTATAGAACCCCTAGGTTAATAGTATAGAACCCCTAGGTTAAAAGTATAGAACCCCTAGGTTAATAGTATAGAACCCCTAGGTTAATAGTATAGAACCCCTAGGTTAATAGTATAGAACCCCTAGGTTCCCCTAGGTTAATAGTATAGAACCCCTAGGTTAAAAGTATAGAACCCCTAAGTTAAAAGCATAGAACCCCTAGGTTAAAAGCATAGAACCCCTAGATTAAAAGTATAGAACCCCTAGGTTAAAAGGTGGTAGGAATTTCAAAGTATAAAATGCCCAAATTAAAAGCAAAGTGTAGAAATCAAAGAGAAATATCTAAGCTCTAAAGTTCCACATGAACAAACTATGATTGTATTATAGTACCAAAGTAAAACAATGCTGTTTCACACACTCACACAGGTAACACCAATATAATTGAATAATAATGTATATAAAAAAATATTATAAAGATTAACTCTATTACTCAAAAACACCTATATAGAAAAAACATCTTGCGAAACAAAAAGTACATTTTCGCAGCAAAAAAAACTTGATTATTAACAAAAACCACAGGTTCATTAAGTACACCCACTGGCTAGTTGTACTTGGAAGGACGAGAACAGACTATTCTGATCATGCTCTGATCCGTGATCGTTTTTTTTATAACAGAAAAAATTCTGTTAACAGATGGTTGTTATTGGTTAGAAAATGAGCAGGATTTTTAAGATGTTGAATCATTGAATTATGTCTAGGGTTTCCAGCGACGTGGAATAATCGCGATATTTTTTTGTCTCGCCGAAATTTTCAATTTTTTCGCATTTCTTTCGTAAAAAAAAGATGCAAAAAATTTCGTGAAAACAAACTAAAAATGCGAAATTCTGGATTAGTGGAGTTAGTAAAAAATAGGATACACACAGAGAGCTTTATTAGAACAACTCAAGGGTTTCAAAATCCCTCTTATTACTCAAATAGTACTCTTTGGAAAAGGACAAATCAACTAATAAGGTTGACCCGATCAGAAAGTAATGCTAAAACTCGAATATACCAATCTCCCTCTTGCTATTTCTTTTTTCCTTAAAGAGAAAGAGAAAAGGGGGTTTAACACAGAATGGGGTTCTAAAAACCTTGAATATCAACACAAAAACTATCTTAATTCAAAATTTTTAACTTCCAAAGCTTAAAATGCAAAAAGATCATCATAATTTCGTAAATTTACATATTTTATCAGAACTTAACATTAACATTCAATCTAAGTTATTTTAATTTTTTTCTCCTAAAATAGCCACTTTCTTTATCACCCCTTAGGAAGGGAATTATAAATTAACAAGATTATTTATAATGAAGTTATCAAATAACTAAAGTAATTCCTTAGAAAATCTCAGTCAAACTCTGATGAAAGAATTCTACACAAAACCTTGAAAAATTCCAAAAAATAAAAGTATTTAAAGAATCTTAGTTTGACAATCTCCCTTCAAGATTAATTTTGACCAAATTCCTATTGACAAGATTGTTGCAAGAACAAATTTAAATTAATTGAAATTTTCCCTAAATTTATCTATCATAGAAGATTAAGATCTAATATTGAAATTAAGGTTTAAATTTAACTGATCGGGTCAACCATTTTGGATTTAACACGCGGACAAACCCTATTTTCTGGTCTGGGGGGCCGGAAGACTAGAACCGGTTTTGGTAGCAGCTGCTGTTAGCTTAGACACAACACGTGTCAGCGCCCGATTTTCAGACTTAAGCTTTTCATTCTCCGCTTTTAGTTTCTGCAGTTGCTAGGTAAAAAAAGAAAATTTAAGTTTAAAAAACTAAATGCACGGTTTATACAGGTACTTAAATCGTTACAAATTACTAGGCAGTCATTTAACTGGAAAAGAATATGCAAATTTAGACTTATGAAGATAAACCTTTTTTGAAGAAATGTAATTTACACTTTTTAGAATATCTATGTACGTTACTACTTTCACATGTACAGTTTACATAATATTACTCTTGTACTATTATGTAAACAATTCACAAAGAATGGAATTATTATTTACCGATTTTCAAGTTCTGGTCGAAATATCTATTTAACAATAATAATTCCCATTTTGTTGCAAAATATTTACTCAAAGAATGATAAATTGGTTGCATTAGCATTCTACAAAAAGTTGTAGCCTAGCTTTAGTGAAGGCCGCTCATGTTCGTTTTAAAACATTAAAGTTATTTTTTTTTTGTTTTTAGAAGGACCCACTAATAAGCTCAAAGACATTTTCTGAGAATTTTAAGTTTATTGAGTTACAAAAAAAAGATATTATTATATTCTGCTAAGTTTTTACTTCATCAAATCGTGAAAATATGATATTTTAAAAGCCTTGCCGTTTTCGAGTAGAAAAGAAGTAATGATGAAAAACATGAGAAAAATGAATAATGCTACGTCTTTGTTATCACTTTTTTATGCACAGGGTTACCCACTTAGAATAAAAGAAATGAGACTGACTATAATCCGTACAGTCGTCTATTGTGTATAATTCTAACCTGGACTTTCTTTCAACCATGAGAAAAGAAAATTACTCAAAAAAAATCCCAAACACCAAACCGACAATATTCTTTCTTTCTATATCCTAATGGACATGTCAAATCCACATCTTTCTTCTTGAAATTTAACAAACTTGGTGGCTTGCTATAGCTTCCTTACAAAAGAACCCGTAAGTTGCTTTTGTTATATAGCCTGACGAGCGCAAGTAACCCAATTTGACAAAAAAAATAAATAGTAAAACTAATAAATAGATAAACAGTTGTGCAATCATCAATGTTACAAAGTAAAAAGAACCTAAAATAACTAAACTTTTCTTCAGAAAATATTCATCAATATGAGAACCTTTTCTTGTCATAAATAAAATATGCACCAAAAACACACAAATGAGGATTGCAGATTAAAGAATACAGTGTACAGCGTACATTTAGTGTACTCAATAACCCCTGGCAAAAATCCTTGATAGTTACCTGATCCGTTAAATTCTCAGATAGAGCGAGAAGCTTGAAAATATAATAGGCTTTTATTTCAAGAAAAGAAATATATATATTTTTGCTTCAATGAAACAAAATAGAAAGTCTAGAGGGGCTCTACCTTCAATTCTTCTTCCATTTCTCCAAGTTTTTTCTCCAACAATTTCTTCTCTCTCTTTTCAGCGTCAGATACAGCATTCTTAGTAGAGGCCTAGAAAACGAAAAAAACGATTTAAAAATCGAAATGAAATTTTAGAACTGTTCTAATGAAACAGGCTGATATAAATAATACATGAACTCAGAAGAAAAACGTTCATCTCCCTGAAGCAACAATGATTGTTCATTTTTAGGAGCAAATTAAGTTTTTACTTCACTTGTTTGCTTTCTTTTTTTACTTAATATCATAGTTTCATTGAAAAAATAGAAAGATTTTTTTTAAAAATATGATCTAAGTAATGCATGAACTCAGAAGCAAAATAATTGTCGCAAGGGACAAATTAAGTTTTCACTGAGCTATCTTCCTTTCTTTTATACTTCATGTTAAGTTTCTTGGAAACAAAATAGAAAGTTTTTAAGCAATCTGATCTAAGTTATGCATGAAGCAAAATAATTAAGTTTTTACTGTGCCATCTTGTACTTTGTATATATTTTTGCTTCAATGAAACAAAATAGAAAGTTTTTAAGCAATCTGATCTAAGTTATGCATGAAGCAAAATAATTAAGTTTTTACTGTGCCATCTTGTACTTTGTATATATTTTTGCTTCAATGAAACAAAATAGAAAGTTTTTAAGCAATCTGATCTAAGTTATGCATGAAGCAAAATAATTAAGTTTTTACTGTGCCANCTTTCGGTGATTTCTTCGATATTAAACCGTTAATTTGCAACCGTTATTGACTATTTTAAAATTTTTTGTATTGCAATATTATTTTTAAGTAAAAAACGCAGCAGCCCCCCTTGGGCGGTTAGCTTACTGTACACTGTACATAATAAAAGCTTAAAAATCTGAAATCAACTGGAAATGAACGGAAATAGAAACACATAACATTTCCCTTGGTTTAAACACGAACGATGACTAATGAATTTTCGATTTTATATTGATGACAATAGCACTGATGTAAAAAGTCACTTAGCTAGAATAATTTTTAAAACTCTTAATCCTGATATTAAACCTTCATTCATGACGTGTAACCAAACAATTAATGTATACTGTAGTTTCCAAGGGGTGATTGTAAATATATTCCTCCAGAAAACAATTGCAGTGCACATTATTTTATAAAAGTTCCTGTTATATTCCTTGCTTGTCACAAAAGCCACTAAAACCCAATATCTCTAGGAGTTATTAAGTTAGAAAGAAGGTAAACCACACTTTGGAAAGTTTATAAGCCAAACTACTTTTCTTCAGTGAGGGGGGGGGGGGGAAGATTGGGGAAATTAGAAACTGGCAAGTTGCCCCTATTTTGACACCATGCATAAACCATGCATGCGCTTAAAAACAGTAATTTCCCCAAAACAATTGTTAAAAATGTTGCGCTTCGCAAAAATAAGTTTAACATACCATTTTACAATTATGCTTTTAGTCCCTTTAACTAATGAAAATCGAAGACGATATTATGCTCCAGTGTACTTTGTGATGTTGTGGAACTCTCTTATAGAGGTTTAACTATCGTCCTCCACAATATAATAATTCAAAGCTATAGAACCTGACAGTGTATTTTGGCTTAATAACGAAATTATAGGGAAATAACGAACCAAACAATACTGCACTCTCAGATCAACTACTATGTATAGCCGGTCACTCCCTTTAATGCACATGAGAATACCTGAATAGCAGTTTCCAGCTGATGTTTAGAAGAATCTAGATCTTGTCTGATACTTGACATCTCCATCCTCAACCGAGTATTCTCAGCTTGAGACTCCTCCCACAACTAAATAATCAATCAATCAATCAATCAATCAGACTTTTAGGCCACCCTCTATGACAACTTAAAAATCTCATCATGACTTACAATAACTTAGATATTAAAGGGATTCTTCTATTTTTTCAAACTAAAGATGCTTTTACAGTTTATGGAACTCGGATCACCCAAAAACCGAATTTTCTGGGATTTTAACGACACCCGATCGTTCTTTCCCCTAATGATATCTTTGAGCAGTAAGTTTGGCTTAGTTGAAGATGTTTTTTTTTAATATGTATAAAACTTTTGCTTTTGAACTTTCTAATTCGATTGTATTGAGACAGGAGCACTATTGCAATGCCCTTATGTCAGATTAGTTGTAAAATAAGTTCTAATTGCAGAATTAATCTTGTTAAGTATTTTAGCAGAGCAAATTATATACATTATATATTTTCTTCACTTTGCCACTCAGATACAAACAAAACAGACTAGAACATTAAATTTTAAAAGAGTGTTTATTGATCTTCAAAATCTATGAGAACTCTAATAATAAAATCTTGATTTTCCATGCACATTGCATTAATGTAATTAATGCATACAAAGCGTAAGATTAGATTATAAGGAAGGTGTAAAGGAACTGCAAGCGTAATTTTAAGATTCACAACGGTACCCTTAAAGCTTTGTCTGATCTCGTACGAGGGCTGCTAGAGAGTCGGAAAACCCGTCAGTCGCAGGGTGCAATTTAAACTGATCAAGTATGAATATAATGTCTACTGCAGGAAAACATATAGGATAAATAAAAATTAATCACTTTAAACCTAGAAAAACGACATTATCTTCAACATTATTGATCAAATAAAGGTTTAAGTATACAGTTGTGAATCGGACAAGACCATATTTCCTTTAAGTCTCCTTACAGTCTCCTTTATGTGAAATATTGCATGCAAAATATTTATACATGGAGATTTTAAAATAATAAATATCTAAATTACCGAATATTAAAAATGTTAAAAAGTTTAAATCAAGTCATGAAATAAAGAACAGAGGGGGGTTGGGATTATATACAGACAGCCATTGCGTTTTTTTTGCGTGGTTAGGAACAAAAGAAAAATCAAGTCATAAAATAAAGTAAAGAGAGGGTTCACAATAAGGGGGGGGGGGGTTAGGCACATATACACAAAGCCTTTGTGTTGTTTTTCGGGGTTAGAAACAAAAATTATCTCCATCATTTTTGCTTTGACAAAGGGTTATATAATATGTATAAATGAAGGGTCACTTGAAATTGCGTGTACAGTCCCTTTTATGACAGTTAAGACAATAAAAAAGTAAGACAATGTTTTCAATTACAAACATAAACAAGAAACTAAGTCATAAAACAGTCTAGCTACAGTTAAAACAAGAATTCGTGACTTTTTTGTAGCAACATGAATTAAATTACCACAATTCTAATTAACTACCGTTTATTCCCCCCATCCTTCCTGATTTATAAATCCAATCTAGTTACAATACATGTATTATTTATAATATATTCTTTACTTCACGGGAGACAGGAACAAACATGCTATTTGTGAATGGAGGGGGGTCCTATTTCTAAAAAGTATCCGAAGTGAAGGGGGTGTTTGCGTGAATGGAGGGGGGGGGGGTGCATAGATAGATGACCTCAACAAATTTTAATTTTATTCCTATTTCTAAAAAGTATCCGAAGTGCACGCAGGGTTTTAAATGTTTCCGGAAGTATTTCCTTTCCTAACATGATTTAAAAAGAGATGATTTTTCATCAGATTTTTGTCTGTAGTACTAAGCTCAAAAGTGAATATATCAAGTTGGAAATTCTTTTAATTTTAAATTTTGTGCCTAAATGAAAAATTTTGATGAACGATTTTCCTGTGATCATTTTCGTATTAATTAGATGATTTTGAAGTAATTTTATGATTAAATCTAAAGCGAATATAAGTAAATCTTTATCTGTATGCATTGCAAGTATTAGGGGTCCATTAAAAAACTAATCAATTTAAATAGGAGTTTAAATAAAAATAATGTCTAAGAAAACCAAGTTTACCCGATTACACACAATTGAACTATTTTTTGTCTAACATTGATAAAACTTCACTTTGGACTAGTTGGATTTAAATCTACAAAAAATCCATCACTGTTAAAAATGCATTTATATTGGTGATTAACGGGAACCATTTTTAACAGTGTTTGGGCGAACTGATGAATACTTTAATACGTCTGAGAAATGTATCCAACCCTTTGCGGGATCGGGACAACCTAGTGACCTCTACGCCAGAGCCCTGGATAAGGTCAAGGTCAAACCAATAAAGGGACGGGGCGCGTAAAAATGTGAAATGAGAGTTTACAAAAGAATTTAGTCTCTTTAACAATACTTTCATAAATCTATGGCCAATAGAGACACTTTTTTAAAAAGAAAACCCGAGCAAGCTTTAAAATCAGAATTTGCATTTAATACTAAATAAAGCAAGAAATAAAAGGGAAGCGGAAAGTTTCAATAATAAAAACTTTAAAAAAATAATTTCTGAGATAAATAATTTAAGTTGTAAAGAAGCATTTGAGCAATTCTGAATGCACAATATTGGTTTCCATAAAAGTAGTTTTTCTAAAAACCGCGAATATAAAGCGCTATCGGTCATTCCATTCTTATATTTAAAGGACCAACGGCTGCTAAATTTTTGTATAACGCGTGCAGTGGTCTTTATCCTCCTTACCTTAAGTAAATCATCGTTTACTAGAGCAAGCTAGACGAATTATAAATACATCATATCTTATTATTATTCGATATATATTCAGTTAGCAAAGGAAACTGAATAATTAATATTCAGAGCTTCCCTTCCCCCAACAAGAAAATATATTTTTACATAACAAAAATACTTAAGTAAAAAATAAAAGTATTTAAAAAGAAAATCTTACAATAAAAATGCTTTTGATAAATCGACAGAACGCACATTTAAAATACTAATGTTCCAAAATCAAAAAGAAAAGAAAAATTTACTTTAGTTTTTAAAAACATTTTAAAAATCACAATTTTCCCAAGAACATTAAGCTAGTCAATATAATATTACGAGCCTGCGTTCTCTTAAAAAAAAACACATTTGTGTTGATTTCCAAGGAAAATATTTGTATATTGTCATTAACCCGCTGCTTTTCCACAGTTGGACATATCATTAGTCTTACTTCTAGCTAAGTTATAATTAGAAAAATAATATCTAATTAGTCATGTGCACTTATACAACTACAACCCCCCCCCCCACCTTCCTCCAAAATTTAGGACATAGCGCATACTTGGTTTTCGGATTATGAAAGACAAATTACCTTTTTGTAATCAATATCTCCATTAACACTTTTGCTGGATTTGTCCGTAGTTGGCTGGCTCGAATTGGAGGGAATATTCTAGAAAAATATAAATATATAATATATTTAAGGAAATATTGTAGATTTCTTAAAGTAATACAAACAGATACAATACAGAAATATCAAAATAATCTGGAAATATACAAATCTATACAGATATAATACGAAAGAATACAATATTATATTAAAAATATAAATATACATATCACGAAATGTTGAAAATATGATACAATACAATATAAATTGTAATAAATGTACAACAATGATAAAGCACAGCTTTCAAAGTAATGAAAAAATTAAAGGCAGTTTCTGTAAGATTATTGTTTTCTTCTGGTCATTTTTGCTAATTCCTTAATCATTTAAATATCCTCCTTAAAAATAAAATTGATCTAGGGTAGCTTTAGTTACCTTCAGTCATATAATAATGTCATAATAGTTTTGGGCTTTGATTAGAAGACATATTTCATGTAACATCAACTTACTTTTCAGCAATTGCGTTTTACTTCAGTTATATTAATTGATAACAAGGCTTTAATCTAAGAAACAAATTATTCAACTAAGCTCTAAAACAAACTTTTATTTCAAGATAAATCCTTTTAGAAGGAATGCTATATACATTAGCGGGACCAAAGATGTAATTTTGAGTAACTCTATTTGTAGTTTTATATCCGATTCACAATGATACCCTTTGAACCTTTGTCTGATCAAGGATGAATGATATCTTATATACTTATTATATCTCTGAAAATTGATGATTCTAAATTTTGGGTCGGACGTAATAGTGACCAGCAGATTTATGCTGTTAAGACAATTAGGAAAATTTAAAGAATTTAACATTTTTCAAAATGGAAAAACAATCATGTCTTCCTCTATGATACACATAGGTTAAAAGTGTACTAATGTGAATTGGGTATGACACTCTTAAAAGTAAGGCCACTTGAAATCATGCTTGTAGATGTTTTTTTTTTTAGCTTAGGCGTATGTGGTTTTAATGAACAGATATAAACTAATTAAAAGTTTAAAAATAAAGCTGGGAAAAAATGTAATTTTACAATAAATAAAAGTGAACCAATATATTTTTGGTAAAAAACATCCAAAGAGAACGAAAAAATTTTAACAAAGAAAAAAGAAAATAAATTTTAGAATAGATAAGCTTGCCTTTGCTAGAAATGCATCTAAATCATCTTTTTTTAGTAAAAGAAGTCCATCAGTGTTAGTCTTGTTAGTCTGGGGCAAATGAGTAGGAAGAGATGCTATGGATAGCTCAGATGGAAAGGATGGAAGCATGTTAGTCGAGTGACAAGGTGGGAGGGAGGTTGGTAAGGATGTCAATGATCCAGTTAAGTGTTGGGAGAGCTGGGAATTTGTTCGAAATACATCCGAAGGATACGGTAGTGAGCTTTGCCTGCTTGGATCTGGCAAATAAAATGGTAATGATGAGGTTTTATTCAATTCATTTAAATAGGGAGGCAATGAAGAGGGCTTGTTTAATTCATTTAAGTAAGGGGGTAAAGATGATGGCTTAGAATCTTTTTGATAAGCTGAAGTTGAAGATGGTCGAAGATTGTAATTGGCATCAAGAAGGCGGTGAGAATCAAAGGGTCTATGAGGTTCAGTTAATCTGGTACTATCACTGGATCGTCTTTTATTATCGTAGGATCTCATCATCTCTTCATTAAGTCTAGGGGAATCTTGTTGAAAGCTTTCATTTAAGGCATTAGAGGTGTATGCACAGTTAGGTTTGGAAGGGTGATCTGAGAAATGAGGAGATTGGTTACTATAATTAGTATTATATCTATCACAATCAGAAGATGGAAAACCAGAATGATACAATGATGTTGAGTGGGGCTGGAAATTAGCTGAAGCAGAGAAAGGATTGGGAGGTAAGGATGAAGTGACAGATGAGTAGGATGGTAGTTGAACTATAGATTCAATTGGAGGTGAGAGAAAAGACACATGGGCTGATGTACTGTTCCTCGCAGGCTGTAAATGTAGAAATATTAATAAAACTGTCTAATATATTTATTATAGTAGGGAAAAAACCATTAGCTCAGTGTTAGTAGAGAAGAGTTAACAAATGTTTCATAACCAATGATTTAAATTAAACATAACAAAGTTCTCAATTGCAAGAAATTTGTTTAGGAAAACTAAAACTTTGATAAATTTTTAACATTTGAAATATTAAAATTGTAAAGTTATAAATGGTATGCTTACTACAAAACTGTCACTTCTGCTGGCAGGTTGAGAATTGTAACCAAGATCTTGAACACTCTTGTGATATCCATTGCTAAGATCATAAGAACCATTTGAGGAATTTCCACTAAGATCCCTGTTTGAGCCTCTCCAAGATGCTCCTCGAAGATCAGACATGGAGCCCCTAGTTGACATACTAATAGTTGACTTTGCTCTCTCTAAATCCATTTCTGATACACCAAAAGTAAGTGTTTGGTGTCTAGCTCGGTTCCTTGGAGTAGAAGGAGAAGTAACATCTCTCAAGTCATGAAAACTGTTTGACCGACTCAAAGGTCTGTACATTGATTGGGTTGCATTATTAAAGCGGGACACTGAATCATATGCAGGAAGCTTTTGATTGGTTGATTGATGGCTTTTAGTTCTTGGAGGAGATAGTGGTAAAGAAGCAGGCAGCATTGAACCTGCCCTTCTATATTCTCTAGAAGGAGTATAATCCCGAGGTGAAGATAAATCCCTCCCAGAACTCCTTTCCCTCCCTGTTCTATAATTAAACTCCAATTTAACTGGTTCCCTAGAGCTTGAGTGGTCCCTGTATTCATTTCTTGAAGGTTCAATAGATTTACTTCTCCAGTTTAAAGATGTGCCATGCTCTGTAAGCAAATTGGAATCAGTCTTAGAACCAGTGTAGCGATTTGAATTATATGAAGATGTGGTTGTTACTGGTGATGTGTAAGTTGTTGAGGAACTGTATCTTGAGCTAGTATTGTTAGATGAGAAATCCTTGCCAGATGAGTATCCAGAAAGTGAAGTGGAATAACTTGGAGTTGCTCTACTTGTAAAATTAGAATATCCAGTATAGCTGGGAGAACTGTATCCTGTTGTATAAGTTTTACTTCCTAATCCCGTACCATAGCTTGTACTCAGGCCTGTAGAATAGGCAGTCCCTACAGAGAACCCAAGGGAAGTTCTTCTAGATCTACTGCGGGAATTCATTTCATTCACAAAGCAGAATAATTAAGAAGGAAACTACTGATAAGTTCTTCAAAAGCCTTTAATCTAAAAAGGCTACAAGTTCATCCTTTTAACATGGTTATCCATACACTGTTTCAGTATTATCTTCAGTATGATCCCATGCACTGTATCCAGAAGTATTTATCAATACAGGGAATATACCGTTATCTCAGGCATAGTTGAGAGGTTGTATTAGACTCTGGGTGGATTGTTTCCCGTGGAGGCTCTCTTGGTCTCCAGCCTCCCTCCTGTCCCACACTTCCTATTTCAGGGGTATCACAAACCAGAACTCACATGATAAGGATATCATGAGTATGAAAAGGATACAATCTATAAACATCATTAACATTTGTATGCATTGTCAACATATTACCAAACATGCAAAACAGATCAAAATCCTCAGTAAATAAACTTAAAATGTTTTTAATCATCTTTAACACAAGCATTTACTAGAACTAGAGGTTCACTGAAAAGAAACTTTTGAAAGAATCTTTTGAAAGAACTCAGAGCTGAAAACTTTAGAATGAAATATCCAATTTGAAGATAAAGTTGCTTCTCTGGAGTTTAAATTCATGTGGAGAACAAGCAATATTTAAACTGGATATTAAGAAAAAGAGTGGTTTAAGCCTTAATCCTGATATCCACCATTCTAAAGTTTTCAGCTCAGGACAAGTTTGATAACAGGGTTCCTTGAAAAGTTTTAAGCTTACAATATCTCATTTAGCAAAGTATTAACATGTTCACAAAAAAAACTTTCAGTGCTTCAATTTCAATTTCAAATAAAAATTTTTCAATATGGATATTTATGCACTTGAAGCAATAAACATGAGAGAAGGGTGATATTTGAATACTTTCTATAAAACAATTAGAACATAAGCTTAACATGATTTTGTACTATTTCTATGTTTTCATGTAGTTTATTCTAACCCTGCCTTTCAAACTATTAAGCTGAGAATAAGTTTGTTTGATGTTTGGTAAATTCTGTCAAGAATATAGTTTAGCAGACTTTACTTAAGAGTTTGTGAATAACTCTCACGCTTTCAAAATATTTATGTTTTTTAACCTCTGAACTAGAGATTATTAGTGCACCTGATGGAATTAGGGTCAGGGAATATATTTTGAAAGTACACAATACTTAAAAAAAGAGATCACTTGGGACCATTATTCATTAGAATTTTAAATGCGTTTCTTTTTTCACTAACTCATAATATTGGTTGTATTTAACTATCCTGGGTGTAACTAAACTTTCATCACTGGATATAACAAGATACTGATTTCTGAACTGAAGTCAAATAAGATTGTTTATATGTTGGCCAGCCAGCTACAGCTTTCTAATCTGCAGGGATATTTACTGAAAAACATGCTAAAACTTGCAAGACTAATAAAGTTTTAAATAAAAACATGTTTACACTGTTTAAACATTTCTAAAATTATAGGTTGTTTATTTTCGTTGCTTTACATATTGGGATAATTCTTCTGATATGAATTGATTATATTTAAAAATAATAATTTTCATGCACAAAAAACATTTTTTAGTTTTTTAATTAACACACAGCAAGATATTGCTGTTTAAAGACATAACAAAAACTATCCCAAACTTTTTCCTCCTCCCCCTTTCTGCACTGAATATTAATATAGACCCTTAATTAGTTTAGTTAGGATGATCTGAGGGAATTTATAATTATCAAATCTTCACCAGCGGTTTCTCATGAATTATGGTCCATATTGTACAAAATTGTCAAATATTCCAGTTTTCTTTTACTGTGTCATCTTCATTCTTCTATGGTCGAATATTTGATGAAAAAAGTTTATTGAAAACTGTCGAAATAAGCAAC